GATGTAGTGTGTCATGCTTGCAAACAGGGTCATTGTAGCTCAGGTTTAGAGGTTGCCAAGGAGAACCACAGAGGATGCTATTGTCGGGGAGGCTGGGGGGGGTGAATGACTATTCACATGATTCTCATTCCCTGCCACCATTTAATTTATTTTTTCTTCCTATTTAGAGTTAATCAAACACACCTGTCTGTGGGCTCTGTGCACCCAGCCAATTACAAATCTAAAACACTAGGATCCGCTCTTCACTTTTACTGTGAGCTGGAGAATGGGGCAGATTTTTCAAATGAAAAATTGATTTATTGGGAAAGGCTCCTGGCTTGGCAGCTACCTGGGTCTGGAGTTAACTCAGGAGCCAGTTTCTGTCTTGTCTTCAAGGGCTCATTTTTAAAGGCCAGTCAGAGCAGGGCCAGTGCCACTGGTAAGGGAGAAAGACTCAGCCCTGGTGTTTTCATCTGCAAAGGGCAACCCACACGTTCAGACACATCCAGCTTTAGTTACTTTATCATTTCCTCATTGCAATCAATGCCTAATTCTGCACTCTCCCTGCAGGGCACAGTGTAGGCGCACTCTCTGTTAGCAGCGTCAGAACCGGGGCAGGCAGGAAACATTTGGAAGAGGGAGTAATCAGAAGAAACATTAGGGCCTGGCTTATGTAGGGGTAGAGGAGCAGAGGCTGGGGATCAGACAGACAGACACTGCTTTGCTCAGCACCCCTCTTTAAGGCTGAATACTGAGAAGATGTTAACTCCAGCAGTGCTGCTCCAACCATTTCATTGCTCTGTCTGAGCCCCAGCCCTGCTGCAGGGTCTCTCTTTTCCACATGTTTTAAAAGACATGGGCCAGATCCAAGCTTGCATTAGTAGGTGCAATGCCAGGCCAGCAGGGCTGGATTTGGTCTGGCACACCATGGCTTTTTATCACCGTGTAGCTCCATTCATAGTGACTGGCAGCCCTCGAGGGAAGAGCAGCTGGGAGGCCACAAGAAGCTGACTCCTGCTGACCTTTCCATGGGGCAGCACTGGCTCTGACCCAGCTCACTGCCACCTCTCTAACCCACTGCCTGGGGCCAAGCAAGCACACAGAACTGTGCCCGCAGCTGCCATGTTTCAGGTGCATTTATGGCCTCCTGCCTGAAGTGCTCTCGTGGCATGGCATCCTCTTACTGCAGAGCCCCCAGGCAGGTCACAATGACAGCTGGCCAGTCTGCTGGATCCTGCAGTATCTTACTGTGGGTGCAGTTCTCCCTCTCATGCTTGGCACCGCCCCCCCCGCGTTCAGAGAGTTCCCAGCCCTGGGTAGCTCACTGCAGACGTGATGCCAGGTGACTGCTGGTCCTGCACATGCTGCTTCTTCCCAGCAAATTCCAAACATGAGGTGCCGCCAGAAGGGTGTCAAAGAAGGTCTCGAAGGATAAACAGACAGAGGCCAGGGAGCTCTGAAGCGTAAAATGAGGAAAAGCCTGGCAAAGAGCAGGGCCTCCTAACTGCCAGGCCCCCATTACACCAGACAAATGGTCTGCCCCGAGCTTATCCCAGTTTAACTGGGAGCTGTCCTTGAACAAAAGAACAGGTACTTCTGGCTGCCAACAAAGAATGAACAAGAGAAGCCCATTAAGATTAGGATTCTATCCCTGTCACCTCATGGAGTAAGGGCCCTGCTCACAGCCCCCGCACCAAATCAGGCAGTGACACCCGCAGACAAATGGAGCCTCAGAGCAATTCATCGCAAATCAGTCAAGCCACATGTTTCAGACATGGCCCCAGAGGGAAAGGGAGGGGGCGTTCAACAGAGGAGCAGAATAGCCCAGCAAGGCTGCACGATGCCCTCTCCTTGGGGGAGAGAAAAGACCCTGGCAAATGCTCTGGCAGACCAGCTCAGTGTGCGAGAGACAGCATTGCACACACTCTCCCCTAGACGCCAGCCTTCACCCACAGCCCACACATCAGCACGGTGGCTTGCAACCATCATGATATACCGGGAGAGGACTTCTGCTGCAGGTCCAAGCAGCTCCCACTATCCCAAGTCAGAGCTGCTGCTCCCTTGAGCTGGCCCGCAATCACATGGGCTGGAATTGCTTCTCCCTCACTTACGTTTGCCATCCGTGAAGTTCCCCAAGCCTCCACTGGATTCTCTCCCTCACTGGTAGTAGGCGAAAGCACTGCTGTCAGTGGGAAGGAGGCCCTGGAAAACTTGAACCTGGAGTAGGGCCCTTCTCAGAACAGAGCTTGGGAGCAAAGCACTGGAGTCAGATTTGCTGCACAGCCAGTCAATTTTAACATCCACAAAAAGCCATTGTCGTTTGCCTTCAAGTGAAGCTAATTTTTTTGTCCTTGTCGAAGAATTCCTGCGGCCTTGGATGCTGTCATCATAAATCTTTAACATTATTCACTTAGCACTATGCTAATGCAAGGTTTAAAGAAATTTCCACTTTTCAAAATTATTTTGATATTTGACCAGACATCAGATGCAGCTCCACAGAGTGACTAATGACCTGCTTTCTGTGAATGGGGAAAAAAAAAAAAAAAAAAGAACTTAATTATGTCCATTAAATTACTTCAAATATTTTTCCTAAGAGAATATGAATTATTTAAACTCAACACAGAGAAACCTGAAACATTAGCAAGAGCCTTTTGGGACTCGCTATGTAAATTCCCCACTCCAAACAGATGGGAAGAGCATGGCAAGCTGCCACGCAAGCACTGAAGCAATGAACAATACCAAGATTTCAATTCAATAGTTTTATTATGGTCTTCTTAAAGAGGGCATTAAGTGAATCACTACTACCAAGAGCACCATTAAAGGCTTTCCCGCCTTCCGGGGGAGGAGGGAGCAGAGACGGCCGGCACACTGCATCCTGTAAAGGGAATTTAAGGTTTGCATGGCGCCAAGTATTCATTTGACAACTGAACTGTTGTCCTTAGGCAGAGCTCACTCTAACACACGGGTGCATTTCTACCACAGAGAAATGTTAGCACTTTAGGACATATTTACGTCCTTTCGCCTCTTGCCTCTTCACAGAGTGAGTTTTCTGCAGCCTTGCATGGCCTTCCAGAAGCAGAGGGTAGCAGGGGTTTCACCCAATCTGCATTTTGGCAATAGCTACAGAGCCACTGCAATCTTAAAAATAAAGTTACCCTGACAGTCACCGAGATAACCTCCGTTTTAGAATCATAGAATCACAGGGTTAGAAGGGACCACAAGGGTCATCTAGTCTAACCCCCCTGCCACGATACAGGATTTGTCGTGTCTAATCCATCCAAGACAGATGCTATCCAGCCTCCTTTTGAAAAAACCTCCAGTGAAGGAGCTTCCACCAGCTCCCAAGGCGTCTGTTCCATTGTCCTACTGGTTTTACAGTTAGGAAGTTTTTCCTGAGATTTAATCTAAATCTGCCATGCTGTTGTTTGAGCCCATTGCCTCTTGTCCTGTTTTCTGTGGCAAGAGAACAACTTTTCTCCATCTTTTCATGGCAGCCTTTCAAGTAGCTGAAGACCGCTATCACGTTCCCCCTCAATCTCCTCTTTTCCAAACTAAATATAACCAGTTCCTTCAAACTTTGCTCATATGGCTTGCTTGTCCCATCCATAGTTTAGCTGTGGGACCAACCAAAGTCAACACAAGCTGACCTGGACAGAAAGAGACAGAGAAAGAGAGAGAGGTGCCATGATTGGGAAGACAAACCAGTGTAGAAGGACCCTGGAGGTCCACAGGGAAGACTGATCCCAACCCAAAGAATGCTCTGGAGTAGGGAGGAAACTAAGGCAAATGCATGAAAAGTTTATTATTTTTGTCTAGATCTGTGTATATCTTGTACGATTAAGAGCAATCATGTTAGATTCCTGTGCAAAGGCTGTATGTGCATTGTATTACACCAGTCTCAGGCCCTTGAAATGTTAACCTGTGGGACCAGCATGCTCACACAGACGGAGCTCTGGAACAGGGTGTGTTTAAGCTATGGGGGAGTACAGTGGGAGGGGGGAAGTCGGCACTGATCACAGGGGCTGGACCGTTGGACATGGAGGCCTCAGCTCTCAAGAGGGGGTAGCTAGACAGAGGATCTGCATGCTGGGACCCCAGACTAAGGGCAGTACATGAACTGGTTAGGCCTCAAGCACTCAGGATCCGGCAATTGGTTCCCCTCACAGCAATCTGGACAGTGCCCAAGAGGGGACACTTGACTAGTCTGTGACAAAAGGGTGCACAAGAACTTCCTAGTATTTGCACAGATAACGCCACTCTCAGCATCCTGCCCTTGAAATTGTTTGAACAGATGCATCTTAGTTATTTGGACATTTTTCACTTGATTTACAGAAGCATTTGCTACAATGCTGGGCTGAGATTAGGTATTGAACAAGAACTAAGAAAAAGACGTTAACAAAATAATCCTCTTCCATTCCAAAAGCATTTCCAAACACTGATTCCAAGGACAGCACCAGCCCCCTGGCTCACTCAGCCCCTTGGTAAGGCTGAGTTTCTCTTACCATCATTTTAAAAGAGAGAAACTGACGTGAATTTCAGCATCAAACTCATTAAAGTGACACTAGTTAAGTAGGGGTTATATCCATTTTTACAGCTGTCATTAAATGTAACCTTGCAAGCTGTAAAGTCACTGAATTATTAAGTTGAGTGTAAAGCAAGACAATGGGGATATTAATGTTCTAGAGTCATTTTATGGCACGTACAAAGTTATGGAAAATACCTGAAGCTATTCTGAGCCTTTGGCATGTCTGTTTAGTCAAAGATGCTGCTGAATCAGTTGGCACAGTACAACCACCATCACAAAAGACAACATACCTTATTCCCTGGTCCCCAAAGAAAGCTCTGGTTATTGGATTAGTAAATCAGAATGAACTAAAAAAAAAGCCACAACACAAGATTGACAAAATGCAATTCCATTTGTTTACATTGTGCTCTGATACCAGGGTGCTGGACACAGTATAACAATGAGATGGACTGATTGGGGCCTGAAATAGAAATAGAGCATGAATGGCCATTTTTACCTTCACACCCATCATCCTTCTCTTCAAAGCCAGCACTACATGTACATTTCCCAATGGGGACTAGCCACTCCCCCTCCGCACTGCAGTGCATCCTGGGAGGACTATCCAGGTCTACTTCAGAATGATTGACGCAGGTGCCCTTAACTTCCACCAAGGTTGCAAATGCTGCTTCTGCCACAGTGTCTGGAAACACTGCCAAGTTCTGCACTGTAGAGAGGCACTTTTTGTAATAAACCCGCACGGAAACCAGAGCCACGCAAGCACCCACGTCCTGGAAGCCCAGGTGGAAGCCTCTCTTGCTCAGGTGCCCAATCTCCCTCAGCTCTGTGTTCAGCTTCATTTTGCGCTCGCCCAAGTCCCCCTGGGTGAAGCTCTCATCGGCAGCGATGGTGTCAATTTTTGTATGCTTGTTCTCACGGATGCTGCGGCCCAGATCAGAATCTGACTCAACATAGTAGAGGTTGAAGGTCTCCTTGCACGTGCCAACCACTCCAGGGATGCTGTTACAGTCCCTCAGGGTGAATTTCAGCTCAATGAAGATTCTTTGGCCACTGCGCCTGGCAATCCAGCCTGTCTGCAGCCAGTTGTTTTGATTCGACTCCATGACGTTGCAGACCTGGTAGGTACGAATCGGTTTGTAGTTTTCATCCACTCCACTGATTTCTTCCCACTATAAAAAGAACACACACGTCATGATAACTGCTATTTAGTGAGAACCAGTCTTCCAAGTAAAACCCCCTTCATACTGTAAAAAGCAACAGAGAGTCCTGTGGCACCTTTAAGACTAACAGATGTATTGGAGCATAATCTTTTGTGGGTGAATACCCACTTCGTCAGACGCGTCTCTGTTGCTTTTTACAGATCCAGACTAACATGGCTACCCCTCTGATACTTGACCCCTTCATACTGAGATCATTATAAATACAGCCACTAAAAACCCCTTAACCTATGCATTATTATAGCAGACATTAAAAAAACCTGAAGCCAACAGAATACGTAAATCCCAACACAGCCAGTAACAGAGAGGATGGACACAGGATTTAATATCTAAAACAAGATCTAATTTCTAAAAGCCAGAAAAGTCTGGTCTGCAAAGCTAGAGGCAAGGTGCACAATCCCCTAGTTCACTCCCGCAGGGCCAGGGATGGCTTTCCCTGTATTAGTGACTAATGTCGTAGTTAAGTGTATTATCAGGGCCAGTTTCCAATCCCATTTGACTGACCTCTTCTCTCCAAGCACCTACTGAACTGTTCTAAAGGTGGTGACTGTCAGTCTCTCTGCAACTCCACTAGCTTTAGGTCATAAGCTGTATTTTAGTATAACACAGCAGCAACTACAGCTCCCCAGTGAGGAAACTACCCTCCTAATTAGAGCACCGGCGGGGGGGGGGGGGGGGGGGGGGGGGGGAGGAAGGAGAGTAAGAAGAGAGGAAGTGTCAGGCCAACTTCTTTCTCCTGCCCACCAAATGACAGGCGAGGAGAAGGACTCCACCCTCCCTGCCAAGAATGACTCCGTCAAGCTGAGCAACTCAGGTCAGAATGGGGGGCAAAGTCCCCAAGACCGTCTGTCTCTCATGGCTTTACCTTCCCGGACAGGAAGTATTTGTCACCCAGAAGCAGCTCACACTGCCAAATATCAAAAGAAGCTAGAGATGGCTGGGGATGAAGGAGCCAAGTGCCTCAAACCCAACAGGGACAATCTCCGGCCTGAAAGCAGGCCAAGGACATTGATGCTCTCAAGGAACAAACTCACCCCAAGTGTAAGTGAAGTGGCATTTCCCTGCAGCAGCCAGGGAAGTGTTGATTGATGAGATGGTGATTAGATCATCAGCCCTGAGAAGGAAGTGATCTGAGGGCTGCTCACAGCAAGTCCTTCCACAGGTGGCAGAGTTTGTAGTGAGATAACCAAAGAAACCCCCTAATGGAGTTCCTTCCCAGCCACCCACAGGCTCCAGTCCAGCTGATCCCTGAGCCAAGCTCCAAACATGCAGTGTCACTTCTGAAGAGAGAGTTAAAAGCAGCAGGAAACATCTGATTTCACTGATTTGCCCTTTCAGGTGAAAGTGGGCACAGCTATAGACAGAGGCAGCACCGCAGCCATTCACTTAGACAAACTACAAATCATGCAGGGGTATGGGGTCAAGTTCCCCAAGAATTCCAGAGATCCTGCCCTTTTTGCTCATCAGGGAACAGAGTGAATCCTTAAGGCAACTGGCCTGGAAAGTGAACTAGAGAGAAAAGCTTTAATTGACTTGAGTTCCTTTTCTTAGTACAAGAATGCAAAGCGCATTGTCATGAGCTATGCTCAATTTGCAGTGTTCCTCTGACATAATCAATACATTCACTCAGCTCCTCTCCCCGGCTGTCTGGGATTGACAAACATCACCGTTCACGTCAAGGCAGCATTGTGTCAGCTTGTCAAGCCTGCTGTTCACATCACGGAGACGTGTCGCTGCTTCTCAGCTCACCTCTGGGATCTGGATTTTAAGCAGAATTTTGTCTACCCATCATTCTAATGCTATTTAGTGGCTGAAGGCAGATACCTATCTAGACAAGCAATAGCCAAAAGCAAAGGCCCTCCACAGTATAGAGCATTGGACACCCCTGAGGAGATCATCGGGATCAAGAGTTCTGTCTTCATCTCCTTGAAGGGAGTGCACCAACGAATGCACTTCCACAGGTGGTGTTACTCAGCTGCTGAAGCTAGTTCGCTCGAGCCACCAAGTCATTCCCATAAATCCAGACAGCCTGGACTCACCATGCAGAATCAGGAGAGATTCGTGACACGTGTAGGCGGCGAGTACTGCTGGACGCACACCATTGCTCTAAATCAGAGTTAACCAGGCTGACTGGGGGTGGGACGGGTGAGATGCTGGAGCTGTATTATAGTGACAGAACATTTCTACGTATGTTTTCACTTACCCCATTTGATGGGTGCGACGTCCAGCCCAATTCGGCCTGCGACTCCTTAGAATCCAGCAAAACAACTGCATGGGAGACAGAGGTGTTAAAAAGTGAATTTATAGAACTCACACCCATCTCAGCCACCCTGACGAACTACACTGAACATCCAGCCTCTGAAATGACCAACTGGCTCGACCATTTGGAGACAGTATTCAGACCACTTCTCACTTTTAAAGAGGCACAATGTGCCTCAGACGTACACCCCATGGAGCAGTTTCACAGGAGTGACACTGCCGTGCTCTAAACGAAACCCTGAAACAGCTTAAAATCCCAGTTTGTCACCAGCTGACACTAGAAACGTAATGACGACAACTACCACATCTGCAAACTATTTCAAAGGCCATTTTGCCTTCCCTGACCAGCTGAGACCAGAGTTCCAGGTTCTGCATTTGCCCATTTCTACTGTGCCAACAACAGCAGCAAAACTGCCAGAGGACATGCTGTTTTGGGGGTCTGGAAGGTCAGCAACTATCTCAGGGTAACCACAGAGCCCTGAAATGGGGCAGGTGGGGTGAGAAAGAGGGGGGAACAGACCATCCAATATTTTGTTACAAACGTGTAAATTAATTGAGAACTGTTAAGTTCAAGAACTTACTGCTGCTAATGTGGAGTCTTTAATCTCATTTCTAAAACTTTCCTGTGTACCTCTGACTAACCAGCTGTGGTAGAGCTACCTCACCAACCTTCAGCAGACCTACCCAGCTACACTGTAATTGCATCTATGAGGGACGTCTATTTTACAGTGGCAAGAAGAATTCCAGGATACACATTATGGCGCACAATTACACCTGAGTGGTGAAATGCTGATGTCACTGAGGGTCATGGCAAAACTCCCACTAACGGCACAGCTTTCATTCCAGAGGATTAAAACGCTCAGATACCCATGGTGATGGGTACTAGTAGAAAAATCTTTAGCTAGCTAAAGACAGCTAAGCATTGGGCTCTGAGTAGTGTCTTGCAACACAGCTCTTCATACTACAACCAAAAGATCAGCAAAGGGACATGACTCACGTGTGTAAGTCTTGTCTAGAAATACCATGACATTAGAACAAGTAATTTTCAGTACTAATCCCATGACAACCACTTGACATTAAATACCACATTGAAATTGACTTTAATGCTTGAGATTAGGTCAGGTTAGCCCACGCGGCTCCTTGGAGCAAAGCACAGTGTTCCACTTTACAAACATCAAAACCTTTACAACAGCAGAATTGCTGGAAATTCTCCCATTTTCTGATCCAAGTTACTCAAAAGGGATTGGGTGAGGTCAGTTTCCAACACATTGGAAAATGGTGCTGCCCTTTCCAAATGCACCATTGCCACCACCAGGCCTGAGATACTAGATATCATTTTACACTAAATATAAACGCCCACTTTGATTCCCATATGTAATGGCCAAACATCACAGGTCACCAGCAGGGACAGATCCTGGAATGGTCGAGATGACCCAACAGGGCTTTTCTACTCTCAGTAGCTGTAATTTCCATGCCGGGGCTATACCAAGTCATTCATTTATTCCAGTGTAGAAATGAACCAAGTATCTTGGCAGAGTACCCCAAGAGAGGCAGGATCAAACTCACTCACCCCTCTGAAAGTCATAAAGACACCATCTCTCTGTAGTGGGATTCTCTTTAAAACTAACAGGATATAAAGGCTAATCTCTACAGGCTCATGCCAAAAATAATAGGCTGGAACCATCTGCATTTTTATCACAGTGATAAACATTTCACTGGTGTAAGTGTTGCACATGGGCCTTTTATTGGAAGAGACGATCACCAATAATAATAAAAATGTTCATTTTTAATACCCACTTTGGAATATAAAGACTGTCAAACATTTAAACCGATACAATGAAGATATTAAGGATAACTGCTAGCTCTCAGGAACTTGTGCTATAACTTCAGTCACAGACAAACAGAGAGTAGCTTGTTTATTCAGTTAACGGACAATAATTAAAAAAAATGGTCATTACTGATTCCCTCATGAGTAAGGCTGCGTGTCTGTCACGGAGGTCATGGAAGTCATGGATTCCGTGACTTCTGCAGCAGCCAGTGCTGGTTCCAGCAGCAGCAGTTTGGGTGTGTGGGAGGGGGCTCAGGGCTGGGGCAGGTGGTTGGGTGTGTGGCGGCGCTTACCTGGGGGGGCTCCCCGGCTCCCACCAGCATGTCCCTGAAGGTCCTAGGCAGAGCAGCCATGGGGGCTCCATGCACTGCCCATGCCCACAGGCACCACCCCCGTTCCCCACCAATGGGAGCTGCAGAGCTGGCGCTTGTGGCGGAAGCAGCGCGCGGAGCCTCACTGGTCGCCCCTCCCCCTAGGAGCTACAGGGACATGCTGGTTGGAGCCAGGTAGGTAGCCTGCCAGCCCTGCCAACCCTTCCCCCCTCCCAGCACCAGTGGGGATCGCAGGCCACCCCCCCCCAGCACCCCCACACCCCTCCTCCCCCCGAGGTCCCCCAGCCCAAGTTTTAGTTAGGGGTATATAGTAAAAGTCATGGACTGGTTTACTGCCTGTGAAATACCAGTGACTAAAAAGTAGCTTTACTCATGAATTTGCAAACTGTGAGCTTGGTACAAAGTTTTCCCCAGAGAATAAGGGATTCCCAAGCCAACCTGAGGATGGGGGGGGGCAGAGATTCAGACAAAACACAGCCCATGACCTGCTTGCCTCTCAATAGCAGAGAGTAAGTAGTCTCATCTCTACCTTCGGTTTCCATAGAATCAAAGAAGTTTTAATTCACATGCAGAATTCCCCCCCACCATCAAGTTTAGTTATCTGTAAGCCTTAAATTGCCAGCCTGTGCTGTGTATTCCTAGCAGATGCTAGTTCTTCCATCAAATGATATTACTGCTGATTTGGCCATTTGCTATGCCCCCTGCCAGACCCACCATATTGTACCACTTCATAAATTCCGCTGATCATCACCAACGGTGCTTAGCGGCATTAGGCTTCTCAGTATCTGAGCAGCAAATTGAGAGAGGGCTGTTTCTGGACAGCACAATGAGCAATACTTAAAAGAAATATAATGTGTATGAAGTGAAGTTCAGACTGAACTGAAAACAAACCTTGGCTCTCTCCGTCCTCAAATCATTCATTTGCAGGGGGGTGTTGGTTACAATGCAGACCATACATTTTACTCCAAAGCCCAATCAAATTGGCCACAATCCACTGGGCATAGTTCAGCTAATGCTCTTTTCCTACATTATAGTAGAGCGGATTACAGCGATGCTGAAATTATTTACAGCCACAAATTCTGACAAAACCAGTACTTCTCACAAATAACCTCCCTCCCTGCATTTCATGGTCTGCAGCTTTCATTTCGAGCTGTGAATGTTCAAATGAAGCACCTGTATTTCCAGATCACAGCTGAGTTTAGAGGAATTATTATTATTATTCACCACACTTGTGCGACTATTTACATAATCACCAAATAGCCCAGTGATGGGGCATTCGTTATTTGAAAATCTAGAGCGATGAATAAAATCCCTCAACAAATGAATGACAATTTAAAAAACAGACCGCAAGAGCAAGTCACTGGCAGCTAGTTTCTTCCTCTAGGCTCAGGGGTTTCTGATTTGGGGAGGTGGGGGGAAGAAGGGGAACTCAGTTTTCACATCACTTTTTTAGACACTCTTCTGCCTTTCCAGACAGAGCTCTTTGTGGTTAAAAATGTCAGCAGGACACACTCTAGCTATCTCATCGTACCCACAATTCCAGGGGGATTATTAGGCAAAAGATCTGCACATAACCCATGTTAACACAGTTTGGCTCTGCGTGTCCCTCTCGTGGTTACATGGGCAGGTATGAGGCTGCTGTTACCTCCAGCTAATAGACACAGACCTGAAGCTCAGGCAGTATCTGCTCATGCTTTTAAATCCACAGATCTTGGGTTCACTCCCCACAAACGACCCAGCCAGCAGCTTCCTTACATGCCCATAATGGAGTCTTATAGTATTAGAAGTAAAATGGGTGTGGGAGAGGTGGGTGGAGGATGAAGAAGCAGCCCTATCGGGTCTCCTTCCCTACCTCAGTGGTGTTACTCTGGGCTGCTTTGGATTTAATTGCAACAAAGTGTGACAGACACAGGGGCTAACAAGGAAAACAGTCAATAATGCAGAACCTTACACAATTTACACTAACAACTCATTGTCCTCTAGTGCCTTTCTACTAAAGACCCAAAAGCACTCTACAAGCAGTAATGAATGAAGCCACACATCATCCCTGGGAGGAGCACATTGTCCTCACCTTACAGATGAAGAAACAGAGGCAAAGGTGGTTGTGAGAAGTGCTATAAGTTGCGTCTGATGAGTATTTTTGGACTGACTGAGGTGATGTTTGTACTGACTGGCTGGCTTCAGCTTTGTTTGACCCGAGTGTATTCTTAGCGAGCTTCTTAGTCAGCAAACTTGCTTACAGCCGAGGCTGCATAGGACAAAGGAGAGGTTTTGACCACAGATATTACATAAACTGAAGGGAGTTATTGGGACAGATACGCAAAACGTACCGCCAAGAGACAATTAGAGAAAAACCAGGTAAAAAGTCCCTACACAGAGTAAAGAGTCAAAGTGACCTGGCCAAATTTGCATGATCAATGGTAATAAAGCAATTAGAGAAGAGAAATAACAACAGGAAAATAGCAAAGATAAACAGAAGTTATGCCAATTAAAGTTTACACGTGTACTGTATGAGTTACATAAGATATGTAATATTCATGATACTTAATGGTTATTGAAAGAGAACTAACGAATACGCAATTTGGATGCATATAATACAGGATAGATTATCAGAGACAGTCAGAGCTTTGTAGGAGAAACCCATTGTGACCCGCTGATGCCCCACGAGAAAATAGCTGGCCACTGTCTTTTCCTCTTCTTTTTTGCTCTCTCTGTCATTCATTACTTTAATAGTAATTGCAATCCCAAGGCATGCTTCTGTTCAAACAAAGGTCTGAATTAATAAACTTGAGTGTGTCAGACCTCAGTGGGTGTCATGCTCAGTCGACAATGGGAAGAGACTTCTCCTAGGCACATTGTGTTTGTTCTAGAGCCAGGAACAGAAGCTAGATTCTCTCCTTC